ATACTTTTTGTAAAGTACACAAAAGCAATTTTTAAACTTTCTCTTAAAAGCCTTTTCATTTAAAATACTTAATGCTTTTATTCCCTAAAAAATAATTTTAATTTCTTTTCCAAAGTGCTTGCTTCTATAAAAACTAATTTTGACCAGATATTTCAATTAAAAAGAACATGTTTTTTTCCCTAAAATGCGACGTGAATGTTAAATGGCAAAAAATAACTAGACAAAATAAAATGTTTAAGCACAAAAAAAAATGTGAGCGAAAACATTTTATTAGAACTCATTCTCTGAAAAAAAAATGTGGAACTAATTATTTTAAATGCATTTCCGTTGTAATTTCAAAACTACAAGATTCATTCGAACTTTAAAATAAATAAATTGATGCCAGTATTTTTTTTTAAAAAAAAAACAAGGTATTTATAAAGTTATTTTTATTGCTTTATTCTTTGATTGTCTCCTTGAGAATTTGCAGATGTAACATTGTTTTAGAAAACAGCGCTCTGAAATTTCAAAAAACTAATTCTTCTTATTTGAATTACATGCGCATAGGAACTTGTCTTAAGTAAGCTGCAAAAAAATAATCTGAAAAGTTTACAGCAGCCAGGTATTTACTGTAAATTCAATAATTAGTCGTTTAAATGTAATGAAGAAAAAATATGTAGCTGACGAATTAGTGAGTCATTGCCATATTTTGACCTGGCGATTCCGTTTGACATGCTAACCCACTTACCCATGTACTGTGCCGTCAATCAATGTGAACGATTACAGTAAGTTACACTTTTACCGTAAAACTGTATGGTAGATAAAAAAAAATACTGAAGTTAAGAACTTCTCAGTCATTGCGGGATCTTGAGTTTAGTGAATCTGTTTAACATGTTAAGCACTGACCCATGTACCGTTCCATGTACAAAATGGATGATTTTAAAAATCAGATGACTGTTCTAGAAAACCATTCGTTTCTTCTGAGTGGGTGACAAGAAGGCAAATAATGTCACCTCTTTCTGAATTTTTCACAATTAATATTTTTAGAATAGTACTTCTTTAATTGAAGCCCATATGAATGAGACATTACATAGAACAAACATTAAATTGTGATTTCTCAAAAACAACGTAATCGTACAAACAACTCAAAATATAAAAGACTGCGTAATACTTTACAATTCGTAACAACCTTTTAACGGTAAAATAACTGTGGAGTATGAGGGCATTAATTGCATTTTAAGGGAGTTAATTTGATTAGGTGTAGATTTTAAACAAAATTTTGTTGTACAAGCTAAACTGTACACCTGCCAAAGCTAACCTTTAAACATTACCGAGACTCCAAGACTTCGACAGCCTGTTTATATAATCGGACACCTACTAATGACGTCATAGTAGGTAAATCGTGGCATTTGTCTATTCAGAAGTCAATCAGTTTCGGCACGCAAGCATGACATCGCTTACAAATATCCAATTAAATCTGATTTAAATCACATGATTAGGTATAATCACTTCACTTCTGCTCGAGTTGCAAGTACCTAATTTTTTAGCGTTTTGCCAAAAAAGTTTTTTATCTCATTTAATTAGACGACATTTTAAAATTAAAAATAATTCTTGTTGAAAATACTTATTTACACTACCCCATTTTTACTGAATAATTTTTAAATGTAAATCAATATTAACAATTTGATATTATTCCTTTTCCTCGGAAGCTAACCACTTTTTTGTAAGGTTCCCAGGTAAATGAAGAGTATAATAATAAGAAAGCATAAGACTCAGTCATTCAAACACAGTTCTAAGATATACAATGCAAAAAACAATGATAATTAAAACTATTATTCGTTTATCCTCTATTACCAGACATTTGTGTAAGAGAAAAAGTTTAAACACATGAATTTATAAAAATAATGAGCAAATATTTATGATCGAAATATCAAACCGTAAAAATTTCGTAACACATGAATTTCGTTTAAACACATGAATTTATAAAAATAATAAGCAAATATTTATGATCGAAATATCAAACCGTAATAAATTTGGTAGTTTTCAAAGATATAAATATTTTCAAAGATATAAATATTTTTAAAGTGTTTTTAATTTTTAAGAAGCAGAAATATTAAAGAATGAATACAACAAAAAATTTATAAGCCTGTACCTTTCTTTATAATGAAAAGAAATCCACTTTCATTTTACCATTGCAATCGCAGACAAAACTGTTTGGGCCATCCAAATTGTTTTTTTCTACCCACCTTTGCTTGTAGATAGTTTTCAACAAGGGCTATTGTTTAGTTAATTTGCACCGCATATTCTGTTATACGGTAAGTCAAATATTCAAACAGTAAATAATAATAAATTCAAACAGTTGATATTCTTCCCCAGCGTGTAGGCTCGTTTCTGGTGTATAAAACTAATTTAAAACTTTTAGCTTAGCTGCGTTAAGTAAACAGCGCTAAGTAAGTACTACTGCTCTTAAGAGATATGTAAATGGTTTGTATCATCGTATACTTCAATTCATATATAAATATAACGAATATATTGGAAAATTAACAACTCTTTATTTCAGTCGGGAGCTTTTTTTTACATATTCAATATTTATTTCTCATCCAAGAGGTGCAAAAAATGAGTTCCGCTTTGTAAATCTGTATTTGTCGACATACTTTATTAATATTCATGCTTTGTTCTTATTAGTTTCTTTCGAGTCTATTAATGGAACAGAAAAAAGGTGGCATTATTTATGTGTCAGACAATGTTTCTGATAATATTCATCCAAAAGTTTATTGCTTTGTTTCTTTTTACGAGAAAAATGAAAAATATAATGGTTGTATTAAAAAAATAGCAGTAATATAAAAAAGTTAGAAAAATAATTAGAAAACTTACTTTTTTATTTTTAATTTTCATACTTAATTAAAAAATGCACTAATAAGCTTTAATTTGTAAAAATAATTATTTTAAATAATTCCTTAATGAAATTCTTTTATAAAACAAATTCATAATAAGAACTAATTTAGTTGGCTGAATAACTTTTTGACCGGCTGAATAGCGAAATACAAAGAGACATTTAAAGCTAAATCTTGGAATTCTTTCTCCTTGGTGCATTAACGGAAGTTAAAATGAGTTCCAAATAATGATTTCAATGAAAATGAAATATTTATAAACTCAAGAAATAGAATAATTTTGTTTTGCTAATGCACTTGGTTATAAATTTTCCAAACTGCCCTTTTCATCTCTTTTGAAAGAAAGATCATTTTATCGAAGATAGCAACACTTCTTTCATTGTCACATCTGGCAAAGTTTCAACTTCTGAAACTACTTTTTGAACTCTTCATTTTAAGTCGTTCGGAATTAATGTGCTTTCAGCTGAACGAAAGTTTAAAGTTATATGAAAATACATCATCCTGAAATATATTTAACTACTTATAGAGCTGCTATTTTATATAAGACAAAGAAATTGTTTATTTTTCTTATATTCTTCTTTGTTCTTTTTTTTAACTCATATATCTCGTTAATCATCTTCTCAACTTTATTTCTTGAATCATATTTTATCTAATTCAAGAAAATGAATATTCATTAGCAAATTTTCTTCTCTATCGGAAAGTTCAAATCTCTCAATAACGAATCAATCAGTTATTTCAGTCTGATTCTAAATGTAGTTTTTCAAAATTTTAAAATTTGTTTAATTGTTTTTAAACATATTTTAAGCATTTTTCAAAAAAACTTAATTTTTTTTTTCTAAAATTCGGTATTTTTTCCATTGGGTGCCTGTTTTTTTTCTTCCAGAAACATGTTTTTAATAAAATATTTTAGCCAATTATATCAAATAAAAAGAAAATATTCGTAACTTTCCATATTAATTGAGCAAGAAATTCATGTATTTTTTCCCTCGTACAATTTTTATTTACTGTAAAATGAACGGTTACAATTCATTAACTGTTTTTAAATCGAGCTAAGAATACAAATATGAAATAAATCTTTTTTAAGACTCAAGCCTCAACCAAAAATAACAAGAACTGCGACGTCACGAGCAGTATATATATGCTGTCGAAGTCGGTTACTTTGAGTTTTAAATATATATATTTTAGCAAGAAGTATAACAAAATTTAATTCTTAAATAAAAAATTATTTAATGCAGCATAGTTTTTCCAATCGCAAAAATAAAAATTTTAAAATTAAAATAAATTGTTTAAAACTATTCAACAGTTTTTATATTTTCACAACACATGACATAAATTATTTTTATTCATGCTTCGCAGCATGAGTTTTATATCAAAATGGCATAATGGTGTAATGGTATGCATAAAAGTATAATACACATAATGGTATTATAATAGTTTATATTATAATTGTAAGGAAAGTATTTATATAATTATTCATACTCGAAATTCGACTTTTCGTAGTTTAAAAAATTATAATCAAGATATTATTACTTAATATTTAAAACATATATTTCACACTATACTTATATTCGAACATATATTCAACGTATGACAAATATTCCAAAAATTACCCAAAATACTAAAAAACTTAACCCATAAAATTTTCTATTTAATGTCAGAATCATTATTTCTTTTAATCCAGCTCCATTGCAACATATTAATCATAGTTAATGTAATTATTATTCAGTGAAAAACATTATTATTCATTGGAAAAATAATGCTTAAAAATCAAATCATTATAATTCATTGTTTAAAATATAAATACTCATTATTCAAGCATTATTGCTCATAACTTAACAGCTTTAACGCACATAAAAAATTTACTCAAACTTCCAAACGGACAATTTTCAATAAAAAAATTTATGTATTCTGTTTAATTTCTCTAATGAACTAACGTTCATCGAAATGTATTTTTCTCAAAGTAAGCTCCTTGAATGCAAATTTAAAAATTAATTAATTCTTTAGTTGAATTCATAATTCTTCAGAAAACTGGATACATAATTGTCCAGAAACAATACTCTTCAGTTTACTATTGCTCCAAAACAGCAATCCTTTCTATAATTAATTGAAATTATCAATTCTCTTTTTCAGGTTCTTACAATGGCTGGGATGAGTGACAAATAACGACCAATGGAGACGGAAGTTTCCGATACTGAAAATTTGACGACTGTTTATGCACAAACAAATGAATATTTACTTGCGCATTTATATTGCAATTTATCGGTAGCTACTGGTCTTGAAATTTACAACGGTAAAAGTTATTTCTGTTAAAAACTAATTATTTTCATATTTTAAAGTCTAATGATTAAGCTACATGTAGTTAAATCATATCGTATTGTAATCTTCCAGCTATTAATCTGGAGGATTTAGAATCTGATGTAGAGCTAAATAATATCAAAATCATATAAAAGTTATTGACATGTCAGAATTGATGGTTACATATTTTCCTTTGTATATTTATCCCTTGAAATTCAAGTCACATATATAGTACACTCTATTTACCAATTGCAATCGAAATAACCTGTTTGTCATATTATGCACAGTAAAATGTTTCTAATAAAATCACGATAAAAAATATTGGCACCCCGGGTACATCAGTCGTAAAATCCCTTTTATTGTAGAATCTAATTCTACTGTAAAATTTTACACCGTAATTTTTATAGTTATGCTTATTTAATTAGATTGATTCAGCGATTTTACAGTAAATATTACAGTAAAAATTACGCTTTATTTGATTTTCTGTTCCATAAAATTAAACGGTAAAAAAGGATTTTACAGTAAAATGCACCAGTATCCTGAGTGCTAGAACTTTTTACCGTAATTTATTTCGGAATACTTTTTGCGGTGTATTTCCTCACTTGCAATTCAAGTAACTTTTATTTTCTAACTCTATATGATACTTGCAATTTAATTAACATTTTTCTCATACTCTATTCAATTACTGTTAGAATTATTCTGATATTACGGTAAAACAACCGGTAACAATCTATCAATTTTAATAACCATACAGGTTACGGTAACGAACATATTTTGCCTATAAGGTTTTGAAACCGTTTACAACTATTATCGTTTAAAAACTAAGAACGTAAAACTAAATGGTTTATTTAATCATTTACAACGAGAATAGTTTCAAACCCGTAAAAGGGAAATTTAATTAAAATCAGATCTAGTTTTTTCGTTAGGAAATGGGCATTAGAGTTAGGTTGTAGTCAAATTGTGATTTATCAAATGAATCGTGGAATATGGTTTAATTAGCCTATCTAGTAGTTTCACCTATCGTAAGAGATGAGAAATGCCTGACTTCTTTGTGTCAAACAGTTATATAGTGCTGCCATCTATGTGTGAGTAAGAGTATCGTAATGTAAAAGTCCAGGTTTACAAATCGGGAAGTGCAGGGCAGTGGAAACTCTTCATGCGATAAAGGAAATAGTGTGATGTCAACACTGGGTCTCGAATCCCAGTTTTGTCGGTCATTAGATTGATAGATTAGCTTTCTTGACTATAAGATGTACCCTGCTGTAATGAAGTGGCTTCATTAGATGGATCTGGTTGTTGCGATAAAATTCTGGTTGATTAATTGTATTATGTGAAAGCAGATAAATAGACGGCTTTTCTCTCAGTTAACAGCTTGAATACCATCTTATTTATGGTTATTTGATTACTTTATTTAGGTAAAATAACACTTAAATAAATTTTATTAACTATTATTTTACCATAGTTAAATCATTTTCCTACTTAACCATTTTTGCAAGAAGTTTCTAACAGTGTACTTGCAACTCCAGCAACTTACGTGTCATACTTTACCACATGTAACTGAAGTAAAAAATTTCTTATACTGAACTTACTACTAGAGATTAATGTAACATACTTGACACGGGAAATTCAAGTAGCAGCTAAGAAACGTAAAATAAATTATGAATCTTTAAAACATATCATAATAAACAAAAATAAAAATCCCTATATACGGTGGAAAAAAAACTGGCAAAATTACCCTACTGTATGGTCATGATAAATCTGGTAAAAAAAAAATAGTCCTAATTAATAGAACGAAAATCGGTATTTAAACCATTTATTTGGTATTTTATCCCCTCGTATGGTAACGGTTTACTGAAAATTCTGGTTTTCAAAATTATAGTTCTTTTTACCAGACATTTTATGAAAAGTACAAAACTAAAAATTAATTTCAAACGAATAAATTCTTTTTATGCCACGCTCTAAAGGCAATATGTTAAAAGAACTAAATTTTACCACATTTACCAAATTTTATCACATATTGCAAAACCATATTTTAATGGTTATTTTAACAAAATCATTACCTAAGCGCATCGGTAAAAATAACTGAGCTTTTTGGTGTTCCTAAACAGCCAGCAACATGGCAAAATTTATTATATTCTTTTTTCTGTGTACCGTTTCTCCGTTAACTTTGCTTTTTAGTTCAGAAATTTTTCTCGATAAAAGCATGTTTCAAAACTACTGATTTCAGATAACTGTAGAAATACTACAGTGAAGCAACATAGCTTTACCATAGTCTGGTAGTTTTGACTTTATTTTCTTTTCTCAGAGTCGCTTACAACTTAATGAAATATTTTTAGACTTGTTTCTGCATTGATACAATTAATGCATAAAAAAAGTTTATTCATGAAGTACTTATTTATTTTGAACTAAACAGAAAGTGTGAAAGAAATGTTTAGGCTACTCAAATGTTTGTAAATATATAGTTTAAAAGAATAAAATCTTTGCTGAAAAGGAATACCCAAAATTAACAAAATTTTCTTCGTTTTAGACAAAGTCATTTTAAAACTCCGAACAAATATTCCGTTAAAATTGATGAAATTGATATCTTCTCTTATTAGAGGATGCGAATTTCGTCAAAAATATTTGAGCCGCTCAGAAGCCAATGCGATTAAGTCCATTTTTTGATATNGATTGCGAAGCAATCCGAAATGAACTGTGAAAGCAGTTCCGGGGGTTGGTGAGCGCTATCGAGCAGGGGACGAAGCCTCCTAGTTTTTATATAAATTTCTTATCTTTTTCAGCTGCCAAAAGGTCCTAAAATTTTTCAGATGCTGCTATTTCAATAAATACTTACGTTTTTATTTACACATCCTGTACATATCTTGTTTTTTTGCAGAGTTTACACCTCGAAAAAAGACTTTATACACTTTTCTAATTAAATTAATAAACCAAGAATTTTAAAAACTAATGTATGAAAGAACATTAATTTTCTCAAATGTTGTGTTTTGGACTTAACCGGATTGGCTTCTGAGCGATTCATTTGTCATAATACTATATATCGGTTAATATAATTGATTAGAAAATTGAACAAAAAGTGAAATTTGTCCAAAAAAAAGCTCTCGCTTAAAACCAGGATTCAAACACTAGAAGTTAAAAAGCAAACTAACAAACCCTATTCTGAGAAAAAGACTATTTTTGCTTGAAATCTCTAAGAATATCATTCGTCGCCTCGCCTTTTCCTGTTTCTTAATATACTTAACGTTATTAAATCTGCAAGAAAGCAGTACTGTGAAAGTTTCATAGTAGATTGTGAAAATAATTAATATTCTTGTTTTAACTATAAGTTTAAAAGAAAAGAAAGTAATTTAAAGAAAATGTTAGAATTTTATTTCTTTGGCAATGCTTTGAATCTATGATCGTCGGTTTAAATTATTCTATAAAAATTGAAAAAAAGAATAGAAGCTATATTTTTTATATCCTTAATTCTAGACACATCAAAATCTAAAGAAAGTAATTACCATAAACTAATGAGGTTTCATGTGATAGAATTACACATTGTTTGATTTTATCCGTTGCAATTAGAATAATTTAAATATACTAAACCGTTTCTATAACCCCAAGTAAAATGCATTAATTTATTTAGAATAATTTTCTAAATATTAATTCACACTCAAACTTGAGGACAAGAGTTTGTCATTCAAAATCCAAATTAGTATCGTATTTTAATTCTTCTTAAGAATATTTTGCCCGAAAGCATAATTTTATCATACTTTACCTTCAAATTGAAAGAAATTTACTTTTCAAACTTTGTTACTTTTCAGTTTTTAAATTATATCTGCTTAAAATATTCTAAATCCTTTTTTTATATGCTTAGCAACGTAAAACAACTTGTTAAAATTAATTATTGTATATACGAAACAATGTCAGAAAGTTTAGTTCTGTTTTACTTAATTTGAAAGGCATTTACAGATTAAAGTATTAAATAAGATATAAATCAATTAATTTGCAAAACAAATGTTAATCTTTACTACTATATAATAACTTGATATTTTAAATTCGTACACTGAAAAAAATAGCATGGTAATAGCTACCTTAATATGGTAAAATTTACCATGTTTCTGGCTCTTTTGGAACACCAAAAAGCTTGGTAGTTTTTGCCAATGCGTTTTGGAAATGATTTGATTTAAAATTAGCCATAAAATATGTTTTTATAATATGTGATAAAAACTGGTAACTTTGTAATTTTATCATTAGACCTTAGAACATTGCATTAGTTATTTAGTTAAGTTTAATTTTCGTTTTTTGTATTTTTTGCTAAATGTGTGGTAATAAGAACTATAATTTTGAAAACCAGAACTTTCGGCAAACCGGTGCCATATGAACAGAAAAATTAACAAATGATTATTATAAATATTTTGATTTTATCAACCATAATTATGGCTTGTTTTTACCAAAAGCGTCATTACAATACAGTATGGTAATTGTGCTTGAATTTTTTTCTCCGTGTATCATTACTGATTTCAAGATTATATAATATGGATCAGTTTTCAATCATAATCTCTAAAGTAGTATTATAACTGCATAAAAAAATATTTTTAAGCTACCAATTTTTAAAAAAAAATTTAATTTACTCTGTAAGCAAAAGATTTCAAGTGAAAAAATTTTTAGAATGAAGATGTAAATTTGATTCACTGCGGGAATTTGTTCCGGTTTGTTCGTTTTCTTTTCTTTATTTTTTAATTTAATTTTTTTAAAAAAGAAGAAAAAATATTTTTCTAAACAACATACTATATATTGTAACATAGTTGTATATTACTTTTCGTTAATAAATTTGATTCTTATTGTTTTACTTAAATCATTAATAATTACATAATGTATGTTTTTTAAGTCACTAATTATTTCAATAAATTTTTAAATATTAAAGTGATAAATACGAGAAGTTGATCTAAAAATATAATTGATGCGAACAAATACATCGATAAATAAAATGTTTTTCAATTTTTTTAAATACTATTGTAAGTTATGGTATAATATAATAATGGTATAATATAATAATGGTATATCATTAAGAAATTCGTACAATTACAGGGAGTCAAAACTTCTGCAATGAATCATGGGATGGCGTATCATGTTGGCCAATCACATTGGCTGGAAACACGGCAAATGTCCCCTGTTTCTCGGAGTTAAATGGTGTCAAATATGATATTAATGGTAAGTTTAGATATATTTTATCATTAAAACTATAACAATTGTATTCAAAAATGACTTTATCTCAAACTAATAATTTTGCTTTGCTTCAAAAATATCTAGAAAAATATAAAGGGAAAATCAAGAATTTCTGTTTAATTAATTACATTCCTCGTTTAATGTCATGTAACTGAGTTTCTCGTTAACAGAATTACGGAAAATACAGTTTTCTTCTTGTGCAAAAGACGATTTTTAATAATGCATAGTTATTTATTTCATTAGTAAGTAGCCGCCCAATTAGTGCTGTGGATTGAGACTTCGCGTATCAAGGCTACAATTCAAATTATAACGATGAAAAATGTTAATTTAAAAAACAGCCCTAACGTCAGAGAAGGAAACTTTCTAGGCTGCATTTTTATGTGGAAAAACATTAATTACTTCATCCGCAACATGCTAAAAAAAAGTTATTATCTTTTTCAATTTTAATGTAAAATTCTTTTGGTCGTTTCAAAGGTATTAGAAAAACAAAATTAGGAAAATATTAATAATCTCATTATTTAGGTACTTTCTTTTACTTAGTTTCAGCCTATCATTACTTTGCGCAAATTGTCGTAGTTTTGCTTAACTCTAAATCTTTTTTTTTCAACTTTTCTTTTTTGATTGCTCAATATTTTTGTTTGCCAACTGTGTCTGAACGCTACGTTTATTTATACTATGATTCAAAAATTCGGATACCGATTAACGAGCAGTTTTAGCTCCCGATACCAAAAATCTTTTAAAAATTCAAGTTAGTCTTTTCGGGAGTGATGTTTGTCATTGGTTTTTTATTAATTCATACATTTTTATTTGTTAATTAGTTTTTCCGAGGGTGTACGGTATTGGTCCTCGTAAAACTGTTCTACCGTAAAGTGCTCGATATCGCGCACTGGTCTTTGGGATAACAAGGTTGGGGAGCCATCCCCCACCTTGATAGCCACCCAGAGTGTCAAAATTGTGATGGCATGTCCTCGAATAATCTTCAGGGATGCGTCCCCGACCGTCGCCATTAACTCATTGTGCAGCGCTAGTGCGACGTAAATAAATAACTACTACAACCATTGCTGAAAGTGTAATTTAGAAAATAAACTAAATTATTTACGAATCCGTTTTTAGACTATTATTAGGACAATAACATTTTAAGACAAAGTAAGTAAGAAATAATGATTATTCATTGTATTGAAAAAAATGACGAATTTTTAAAATAATATAAAACAAGGCTTTTTTCAAGAAAAAAAAAAGTGAAAAAAGAGCTTTAAATGAATGTAGAAAAGCAGAATTTTTGAGTTATGTACTGAAAAAGTTTGTAACGCAGTGAAAAATTTGCAAGAAAGCATAACTGATGGTTCATCTTTAAGTCCGCAATAACGTTTATAACTAAATTTTAAAATAAAATCTTGAAACAACAGATAACTTCCAATAAAGATAATCAAAGAAAATATTCTACTTTCTTCAATAAGACAGCTGTAGCTCTTTTATATCTTGATTTGTCTTATTTATACAAGCTTATATCGAAAAATCAATCAGAAATATTTGCATAACCAGGGAAAGAAAAACCGTAAAAACAACTCTTAAAATTGATATAAAATTTAATTCGTTTGAAATAAATAAACAATGAGGAAAGAAAAAGAAAGCATAAAGTGTTTTCAAAGCATAATATTTTTTTCTTCTAAATAACTTTCATCGTTCTCCCCTGTTGCGGGTTTTTTTTTTTCGAACTCTTGATTTCTGACTCCCCGTTCTTCTTACTCGAACCTTAATTCCTTCTAACTTGTCGTTTGGCATTTTGTCCAATTTCTTAAACAAACGTTGTGAACTGTGTTCATTTTTCAAAATGCGCATTTAATGATATATCTGCTTTCTCAAACATGTCGTTTTAGCTAATACCATTTTTCAAGAGCGCGTTTTAAATTAAGTTTCTTTTCTTAGACAAACATCCACAGCTATCTTTAAAATAAAATATTTACCAGCTGAATATTACCACTGAGGAAGATAAAAACTTCTGGTTGTTGTGCTATTTGTTTTAACTGATCTTGGCTATATTCACCTTGCTGATTTCAAATCTGCAATCAGCTTCTCTCTCCAAGCTGCAGTTTCTTTTATATAACTTTTTTAGTCTAATCTTTTGTCAAAATGTGCAAACTTAAAAACGTTTTATAAAACTAAAGGTCGCATAAATGACACTTCGTCAGAATTTGAACTGCATAGAAACTAACGCTTGGAAATGTTGTCGCACGCGGATAGAGGCGTTCGGTGATTCTTATCCCCAACTTTGCGACTGATTTGAATCAGCAGTCCGAATCAGTTGATTTTAGCGAAATAGATTTAAATTATTATGACTAATTGTTTCTTAAATTTCAGTTAGTTTTGTTTCAATAATGCTATGTCATATACAGTTAAAAGTTTCTTGTAAGACCTAAGAGATTCTTACGTATTCAATATTAAGGACTTAAGATTTTCCAATTTTGCATTCGATGAATTCAGATAAAAAATAAATTTAAAAAAAACAAAACATTTCTTCTGTAGTTTCTTAAAATTTACCATAGTTGAAAGTATTTATGGCATTTAGCAACGTATACAATATAGTTATATGTAAGAAGCAAATTTGTTTGAGAAGAAGTAATATATCTTTTTTTAATTGACTCTAGTTAAAAGAAAAATAGTGTATAAAAATTGTAAAGTAAGTAATTAAACTTTTTTCGAATTTTTTGAAGCATTTGATTCGAATCACGTGATTCGAAATTAAGTCGTTTAAGTCTGATTATTCGAATCAGTAATCCAAATTACTAGATTCGATGTGAGATCTGAGTCACTTGATTCAAATCACTGATTGTAACCAAGAATCAGTGATCCAAATCACATGAACCGAAACACATGATTCGAATCATTGATCCGAATCACTTGATTCGAATAGTGATCCGAATCACTTGATTCGAATAGTGATTCGAACCACTTAATAAGAATCAGTTATTCGACTCACTTGTTAAGAGATTTAAATCACTTGATTCGAATCATTCATCGAAATGGCATGATTCGAATCACTCTTCTGAATCCTTCGATTTGAATCACTAATCAAAATCCATGATTTGAATCAGTGTTTTGAGTCACTTGATTCGAATTTGGCCCTCTCGCGGCGCCTTTTTTAGCCTCCAACCGAGTGCTTCACTGTAATTTGCCTTTATGTCCCATTTTTGATTTTAAAAAAATTATTATTTTCATAGTCACGAAACTATTACAAATATGCTGAAAGTAGAAATATAAATATTTTTGAATATAAAATGTGGTATTGGAACAAAAATATAACATAAGACAAAAATATAACGTAAGACAAAAATATAACATAAGAGCAAAAATTAAGTTTAATATCATCCTTTTTTTGGAAACAGCACTTTCAGAAAAAAATCAATCAGAAGCAAATCAATTGAAACATGAAACAATAATAAAATCTCCACCGTCATCTGAATTAATGCCAAGCCTACAGTCTAACGATCAGCCACCTTCTCGAAATTTTATAATTGAGAGTTGGGAGGCTGTAAAATGAGGTTGTTTAAGATAAAACGAGTAACATAGGTTGTTTAACATTAAGATAAAAAGAGTAACAATAATTTGTATACGAATGGATCGGAAAACCACACCTTCTTCTTTTTTCTAGATGATTCGTGGCAATTAGCTCATGAGCAACACCTATGTATGATAGTTTTCAATTTGTTTTTTTAATGTTATTCTTTTTCACAAAATCGATTTTTTTAAAAAAAAGGTAGTGTTCTTAGACTACTATCAAAGAGTAACTCTGTAGCCAAGTATTTTTGCAACACAAAGTAAGAGAACTGCTGGATCAAACTAGCTTTCGTGGAGAACTTTTTCATGAAACTATCCGGCATTTGCGTTAGATGGAGAAGAAAACCACGAAACGCTCCCGCAGTTAGTCTGACGGCAAGAGGATTCTAATCCAAAATCCGTCTACCACTGAGGATAATTTACGTCAGCACTGTGGCCGGGGATTGTTAAGCTATTATTGGAGCTAGGTATGTTCAACTAATTGTGATTATAGGAAAATAATGTGCTTATACAAGTACTAAAACTGTAAACTTTCTTACGGCCCTCCAAAAAGTATATGAATCAAAGATTTCAAAGGATGCATATAAAAAATGTACCACTATTCGTAAAAAGTTAGACTAAATATTTACTATTAGCATTAAAAAAGCCATTCGAAAGGTATTATAAAAGCAATTCGGGGGTTAAACGCAACGAGCAAGGTCTAATTTTAATTTTTTTGCACTATATTCGTATCAAAATTAAAAAGATTATTTAAAATCATCCCTTCAACGGAAAAGCAAATACAAGGAATAACTATTATAGGTTTTTTAGAAGACAATAAAACTATATTGAAGCATGTAAATACTGCCGAAAAATTTTTAAAAAAATTTTTAAAGACTAATTTTTAATAGATAAGTCTCCACTCATTTGAATTAGTAAGTGATTCGTGATTGGAATCAGTAATTCGAATCATCCAAGCAAACTGATTCAATTGATTCGAATCACTTTGATGATTCGTTTTGCCCAACTATTCTATGAATTGTTAAAAGACCGCTTGGGAACAGTTCATAGTAGCAAAATTCCCCTAGTGGCGTATGACAATATTTCCGGACAAGAATTCCTGTACAGTTTTAATTCTGAAGTGCTCTAACTCCCCTAAAGATGAGTCGCTACATTTATGCAACCCTAAATTTCATGTAATGTTCTTAAACTAGTACATTTCAACAAAAATAGACTGAAAATGTTATTTAAAAATAAACTAGCTTGGAGAGGGAAACTGATTTGAGATTTGAAACCTCCTAACCCAAATTAGGCAAGATCAAGTATTTATATAAATGAAACAAAAAATTTGTTTCCCACTATTATGCATTTATTATTCACTATTATGCATTCATTATTCATATTATTTTTCTGAAATTTATAAACTTAGAAAAAATGCTGATACGTAAATA